CATCTCTTAATGAGATAAGTGGGAGCTGTGTTTTATGAATCAGTTAATGAATTCATGGGTGAATATTACTTAATGCTAAGGTGAGTGAGAGTTCAGAATCAATACTATTTTTGGTTTTCATTTTTGAAGAAATTAGTGCTGTGGAACTCTGTACATATAAATTAGTAGGTACAAATAGAAGAAAGTTCGTTATAGCAATGTTACTCAATTCTTTTTGAGTCCTATGCCAAAAATCAGAATGCATGATCATTTAATGATTTTCAGCTGACAACCTGAATAGCAACATTAAAAGCAGTGTTGAAAGCAAAAAAAAATGAACACCCTATGATTTTTTTAAAGGACCTGTTATCCATTAAGAGGAATCACTCTGTCACTCTCTTTGTCGATGCCAATGCCAACATTTTGATTTGCTCCTTTATTTGGTTCCCAGAGGTGCCCCAGGGCAATGAGATGGGAGGAATGTCTTTGTTTTTTCAAAAATGGGAGAAGAAAGACTGTGAAAGGGGAAATAAAAAAGGACAGCCTGTAACCTCCATTATGTGCGATTTCTTATTATGATCAATTTTAGAAAATAGCACTTATGGAAGTTGAGGATCTAGAAATGTATCCCCATAAATCTTAGCCTTAGCCAAGTGCCCCTTAGATATCTTGGAAAGTACCCCAGAGGTTAGCCTACGCCCGGTTTGAAAATGACGCCACTAGCTGATATATTTACTTCACGTGAACTAGATGGAGAAAGGGTGCCTTCCCTTTCTTAACTCTCTGTTGTACAATTCTATCACTGGAGTTTCTTTTCTGTACGGGTCCATTTTATAAAGCTCGTGTGGCTGAAATGATCCTACCTTACCCTGGATGGCTCTCACCCATCCTTACTGACCTGTGTTTCTCCACTCTGACGGACCTTCAGAAAACTAAGGTGTGTGGGCTTTTTAGTTTGGGATTTCTGTAATTTGACCTCTAAATTCTTTAAATTGTTATCACAGTAATACTGACTATAGATTTGTTTGTTCCTTTCCAGTTTTGTATTCAGAGATTTATCAACTTTGTGGTCAAACTAGGTAAGTTTCCTGC